CAAAACAAATTACAACGCGCTCGCGTCAATTTTGCTAAACATTCAACTTTTGGCGGGAACGGAACGTCTCGTACCCACTCCCCTCTCGTACTCTGRCGTTGCCGTGCGAAAATCCGTCGGTGAGTAGTAAAGTCARAACCAACAACACATGATTTTTTGGAGGAGGGARATTTTTCGAGGGGRAATAAATATATTCAGTATTTTTTTCGAGGAGGTAGTTAATTTATTCAATATTTTTTGAGGAACTGGTTAATTTATTCACATTAATGACGTCACTTATTGTTCTCCCAAACAAAAGAGAGAGAGAGAGTTATAAGGAAGCATTTAAAAAGAAAGCTTTACTATCATTGGTATCAAGTTAAAGGTTAAAAGTTAAAGGTATTTCTGTCCAAACTGAAAGGACGGAAGACGATTCGCGCTCACCTTAAGAAATCCTTCGAATCCGYCATTTTCGTGTAAAGTACGACGGTTATGATTCTTTAAGAGTTCATCTCGCCCGCAAGTGCCTCTTGTATGCTCAGGTATATTAAGGCCTGGGTCTTCTCGCGAAAAATGCCCCCAACGACCCCAACGAGGTCACGGCACCAAATCGAGGCGCTCATTTGCATACATACATTTGATTGTAAACATGGAGAAACATGGCGCCTGTCGGGGGGAGTTTTATAGTTGTATATTTGCGATATTTTGTTGGATTTCTGAGGTGAGTATATACTTTATTACATTATATTAGTTTTAGCGACGTGAAATTGCTCTCTGTATAAGACGAAAAACACGTGTTTTGGCCTTGATGCAGTTCACACGTGSCGAAATTTATACTTATTTAAGCTTAATACTGTACCTAATGTAAAAGTATTTACTCAGACCATATGAATACAACCATGAATTAAAACAAATGTAGTTATTTTCTTCATTTATAAGCCCGTTGAGATCAAATATTATACATGAAATGAATACTAATTCGTCAATATAGAGCGGTTCGACAAGAGCATCTACGGATTACATGCAAGATTAATTAATCACAKATTGCTTCTTCTTAGGACTWTTCATACTCTTAATTGAAAAATGTAGTTTTATTGGATCGACAAAATTTATGGTCTTAATAAACTTGAATTTTTCTTGAATATTTTTAAATATTTTTTTTAAATATTTTTAAACAGAAGCTACTGACTGGATCATGTTTTATTTGATCCA